TATATATTTTCTAACAAAAAATCTTTTGTAGAATTAACAAAGAATTGATCAGTGAAGAATATTTTTTAAACGCGTAAAATCACATATTTTTTCTTTTTTTTTTTAACAATTATGATATAAAGATTAAGTCAATATAAAGATTTTGTTTGTTTTAAATAATGGAAGGCTATGATTACACGTAATGTTCCTATTTTCTTTACATAATCCTTCTTTTAAGTCAATATGATACGTTTAAAAGAAATCATGTAGGTCACTTAAAATATCAGATAAATGATTGACCCGTTTAAAATTTAATTCATTGACAGTCACTCATAAAGTTAAGTTATATGAAATATTTTATATTGGAATAATTTGAAAGAGAAAAAAATCAATTCTTTGTTATATTTATTAATTATTTTCAAAACGGAGATAATTAAAATTCATCCAATCTATATAATCCAACCTATATTCCTTTACCATTTATTTATTTATTTATTATTGTAATAAATCATAAAACTGTAAAAAGTATCCTAAGAATATTTATCTAGGCTATCTTATAGATGTTCATACGTGCTTATTAAATCAAAGGTTACTTTAAACAACCTTGACATCATTGAAATGATCACAGTTAAAGAATAATGATACCCAAGGTATGATTTATTAAAATGTCTAAGAAGAATCTTGCCTTTCTTCAACGAAAACAAAAAACAAGCTGGTATATCTGTACAAATGAAAAATTATAGCATACGTCGTTATTTATAATCTTCCATTATTCAAAAAACAAATTTTATGTATTCTTTTATATATATAGAATTAACATAATGTAAATTATAACATGCAAGATAAATAAATTTTTACAGTTGAAGAAGAAGAAGTTTCAGAGACATCAATGCCAGAAACGGAGTGAGGATGAATTCCAAATAAATAAGTTTGTGAAAAATATGTATCTATGGATTTAGAAATATATATCCCAATGCCAATATTTATCTCGTGTTTTTTTAAAACCTTTATATCATTTTTCCATTAAATATCGATCATATGATTACACTGTATTAATTATGTCATGATAATAAATATTAGTATTGTAAAAAAAGAAAAGGATTAATTGTATAATGGAGTAGTTTCAAGTATCTCAGAAAACAAATATTGCATCAAATATCAACACTCTTATGTTCACTTGGCAATCATCTTTTGTCGATTGTGCATCCATCATCCATAAACGTCTTCTTTCGAGAGAAGGTAACAGACGTATTTATCGTGATTCGCGGATTTTTAAAGTAAAAAAAAAAAAAAAAAAGAAAAAAAGAAAATACAGTTTGTACGTTATATTTAAAAAAAAGAAAAAACTTTAAACCAAAAAAGAAAAAGAAAAAAAATACATCAAAGATACAAGGCTGAATCTTTTAATTTAGTGAGATTTATGCCAAGTATGAAAAGATTTTTCAATTTTTGATATCACGAATTGACATTTTACTCTTTGATCGAATACGAATTTTTTATTTTAAGAAGCTTGAAAAATGTTTCAAGAACGTTTTTTGACGGTTTTGTTCGGCGCAGTGATGTCGATAACGGTACCTTCCTCTGGATTTAGTCCTGAACGATCAGGTAATCATTTCAAAAAAAAAAATATTAATAAGATAGAAATAATAATAATAATAATGCATAATAAGATAGAAATTTAACAAAGTGTCCTGAATTTTTTCAGAATTTTTGAATGCCCAAAACGAAAAATTCAAAGGTGAACAAAAATATAATCAAGGATGTTAATAAAAATCTATTTTCACATGCATTACATTGAAATTTATATTCTTATATTCTTCTAGTAAATATTCCAGCTACTTGGAACGTGGTGCCATCGTTAGAGACAGATCAAAAAATCACCGTGGACCACACTTCCAGCCCAAAAACGGAAGTAACCGGTATCGACAAGGGTCTGCAAATCTCAGACACGAAGGTGTCAACGAAGACGATCGAGCAAACGAGCCCGGCAGACGCGGCACGCGAGAAAAGATTCGATTTCGTCGTAGACAATGGGAAAAACATTAATATTGTCATGATCATTGCTGATCCTGGCCAAGATCAGGAGGAATTTTGGAAAAATTTCAAGGCTTCTCACCTCTTCTCTGTAGAAGGAATGCTTCAAGTATGATTTTCCAATATCTTTGATTAGAGAGGTTATTAAGCGAGAAAGTAGAGATATTGATATTTTGGTTGGTTATCATTTAAGAAAAAACCTATTAATATAATTCTATTATTCATATATATTAAAGTATATTGAACTTTTTTCTTAGAGTTGTAACAACAATCAAGTGGACAAGATTCAATCAAGATTCTCACTGGATGATGCATTGATTTCTGCTAACAGAGACAAGAAACACGATTGTGAACACATGCTGCGTTCAAACATTGCATCATTGTTGCTTTGGACTCGAGACGTTAAAGGAATGACCACAGGTTTGATTAATAAATTTTTTTATCTTTCTTCTTCTATGAAGAATCTTATTTTTCAAAATATATTTATATTAATACAAGTTATATCTATAAATATTGATTATAAATTAAATTATTCTATTTAAATATCTATTCAAAAAAATAGAAAAATAAGAAAAATAATTTTGTATATTATAATAATCTGTTTATTAGGAACATTGTCAAATGGGAATTTCACAATTCCATCCTTATTTGGATTCGAAGAAACTGTAGGGCTTTCGAAAGAATTCGACGAAATTGAAGAGAATAACATGAAACCAGAAATTCACAAGCTCAAACCAGAAATTCGGGACTGGCACGTGATCGACGTAGCAAAACCAACCAATCGTGTTTCTTCATTTATGTCTACGCAAAGCAATCGAGAAGATGGTCTCATTTTCATTTTATTAATATATAATATTTCTATTCTTTAATAAGTACTATATATTAAAAAATTCTTGCAGTTCATAATTTACCTGCATAATACTATTGCAGTTTTATTAAGAAGATATTCTATAAATTTTTAAACAAAATTTAAGTTATTAATTCTTTGCTTCAAAAATAATATTTTTGAAACGTAAACTTACTTCATTCGTGTAAATAATATTTCTTAATATTTTTCACGTCCATCATCTTCAAATTTTGGCAAATGGCAAAAGGTTAAAATAAAATTTCATCTGTCACGACGAACAGACGAAGCTGCATGGAACGTGTTCGACATGTTCTCGAAGATAAGGATGGTTCTGTTCCGCTCGTTGTTGGAGTCTCTTGGAAACGTTGGCGCCTCTGAGGAGCCCATCCCGTCTCGCAGAGCGCATTTCCTTCGATCCAATTTGATGGACATGGTCGAGGAATTGAAGTCGGTTGAAAACGAAAAAGGTTTCATACTGGTCGCCTCAGTGCCTGCCTCTGAAGTTAATTCTGCATTAGAAACTCTACAACGTGAAGTAAATAATTTCGTTCGAAAATTAATAATTCTTTCAGATGACTCGTGTCATCTGATCAAGTTTATTAACAGATGAGGATGATATGAACGTATGCATCATAGGGATTTTTTATTTTATGTGTACGATCGCGTCATGGAGAGTTTCTATTTTATGGTGACGACGCATATGGTTGCGTCATGAAGAGTTCTTATTCTATGACAGTTGGTTACATTTTATTCAGTGGTCACATTACGAATTTTATAATACAAAAAATGTAAAAGTCTATTTATCGAAAATTAATATTCATCATTAGAGAGTCTCTTTGATTTTTGATACATTAAATGTATTAATGGACATATTTTCTTACTAATTAATAATAAATTGGATTATTATCTTACATTTTTATTAATAAGATTATAATTTTATAATTAAAAGAGTTATAATTTTTACGATTTAAGGCACAAGATACTCTTGTTATCATAACTGGAGTCTGCACACATGATGGTAAACCCGTGCCATATTTCGCCAGAGGTCCATCCGCCAAAATAATTCGTGAGGCGACGAAAATTTGGGATGTTCCCAATATAATCAAAAGTATCATCGCGAATGGTTGTCAAGACTGCAAAAATCGTCGACACGATGTTTCTCCACCTCCAGTTGCTCAGTTGAAGATCGTTCCACATAACTTGGCTAATTTGAAGAGACCTTTGCGAGATACTGTTAAAAAATCGGTAAGTAAATTTTGTGAAATAAAAGATATGCACAATATATATTTCTTTCCTCTTTACATAACATATGTATGGCTCATTACTATATATAATATATGGTTGACTACTACATATGAAATGGTTACGACCAATTTTTTCTTTAAGAGAATTTACATTTATTCTTATAAAAAAATTTTATAAGAATAATTTTAATAATAAATGGTTTATTAATAAATAGTATTAAGAACTGTCTATCATAAATGAACGATAAAAACGTTAAATATTAAATGAAGGATAGAGACCGAGGTGAAGTGTTCGGTGAAAGTTAGAATTCAATGGTATGACGACAGTTTCAAACTGTCCAAGAATACTTGATACAAACCACCTGTGAGTATAAATAGCGTTCCTCGATAGTGACCTAGACATTGAACCTGAAAAAATAATATAGTGATAATCGTCGTGATAGTCACAGCAACAATGTTGATTTTTTACAAGATATTTTACAAAATAAATATTCGATATTTACAAATAATACTTGTGAAAAAAATTTTTATAATTTTTTAATATCAGTATATTTTTAAAATGAATACAATTTTATTTTATTTAAGATTTAATTGATTACATTTCATTATTAACACGTTTATGTAATTTCTTTTTTTTTATTAAAAATAGAATTATTTCTTTGACAAATATTAGAATATCATTCTTTTTCTATTTTTTACAAAAAAAAAAAAAAAAAAGAAAAATAAATCTCTTTTCCTTTCAACTTAGGAATATAATCTAACCTAAAATAAACATATCACATTAATCATTTAAAAATTGAATTGTAAAATATTTTATAATATTATTATTTCACTTATGAAGATATTTATATAATTAATATAATTAAAATTCACAATTTTGACGTAATAAAATCGAGGTAATATGAAATTAATCATGACCTTATTGGGTATAAGATGAATCAGGTAATCTTTCTAACATACATTCTGCACATATGCATAAATCGATATGCAACAGTATGTAGAGCTACTTCGAATTCGTGAATGACATCCAATTACGATCTTTGATCATACTGTAACATTATACTATATTTTATAAAGATATTATTCTTTAATTATTAAACATGAAAATTATTATTTACCAAATTTTAAACATATACAAAATATAAATACAAAAATTTTAAGTTTTAATTAATAATAATATAAAAAATATTTTAGCATCTTTTGTAATTTAATGAATATTTTATTAATGAAAGTTTAAATTTATTTACAATCAGAATTATTATTTCACAAAAAATAAAATACACTTTTATATCAAGATAATAAAAATCATATCAGCGTTTTGAATTACTAGCTCTGTTTTTTTTTTTTTAATTTTATTCTCGGATGAATATCGAATAGAATTTGATTCGAAAAAATTAAGAATCGAGAAAACGATACGAAGGAGAGGCTGATATTTGAAACTGTTTCAATAGAAGCATATCTTGAGAATGAGAATGTATATGTAATATATTATAATTATGATTGAATATAATTATAATTAATATATAATGAATCAAAATAATTTAACCATTGTATAAATGAAATGAGTTTAATTATGATTAAAAATGAACTATTTATTCAAACATAATTAAGCTTACAAGAATATTATTTAATTTTTATCATATTTTTATAATTTATATATAGAAGTTAATTAATTCATTTATTCATAATATAAAATTGTGCAATATGAAATATATATTTTTTTTTGTTATGATAACAAGAAATTTGTATGAATCGGATGAGTATAATAAAAAATATGGAAAATTATTTTTTTCACATTTTTTCTTGAAATTATAAATAATTTTTTTTTAATGTTACTTTTGTTGAAATAGTTAGAGAATTAAATAAGAAATAATATTCTTTTATTTAACTTGTTAACTGGGTCATTTCTGTATTAGAGAGAATCTCCTTTTGGCACGGAATTGAGAATTAATAAAGGTGATCTAATTTTAGTTAAATTGGTTTCAGATTTTGTGAATAGAAATATAATATATGTACATATAATATAAAGCTCTTTCCAGACATTTTCAATTTTTAATAGAATTTCAATATTTCATACAAATCATAAATTTTTTATTGATATAGTGATATAGTATACAAAATTAAATCAAATTGCAATTCTACAATTATACATAATATAACAATATCAACACATATATAAATTTAATTTTATACAATGTAAATTAAAAATTATTTTATTTATTAATTGTCTTATTTATATATTTATAAACATAACACGAATTTAATAAACAAATTTTAATATTATATGCTTTTAAAATTGTGTTAAAAAGAGTTGTTTATATAAATTCATTTAGTTCTGAAACCGGCCGCTATGGTGCGTTTTGAATGAACTTGATTCTCGTTTTTAAAAATATCCTGCAGCTATAGCAAATATTATGGAACAGAGAAGGGAAGCATACTTACCTGGCGTGGAGGATACCGTGATCAAAAAGGCGGTTCCTCCAGGGTGAGGCTTTTCCATTGCACTACGGTTGAGCTGACCCCTGCGAATACCCCTAACGTGGGTATCTCGGACGTATAATTTTTGATAGTCGGGAACAGCGTTCGCGCTATCCCGGTCAATTTAATAAGAAAAAAAAAATATATATTTTTAGATTTTTGAAACTTTAATTCAAGATTTTATGAGATCTTGAAATTTGAATTCGATACTTTGAAATTTCCAATTTGTGAAATCGAAAAAATTAAAATTCAAAACTTTATGAAATTTTGAAATTCTTGAAACTTTTAGAAAAAAACTTAAATTCAAGACTTTGTGAGTTCCTGAAATTAGAAATTCGAATTCGAAATTCTTGAAATTTCAAAATTCGAGATTTTGTAAAATTTTTAAAATTGTTGAAACTTTAAAAAATTCGAATTCAAGATTTTCTGAAATTTCGAAATTCTCTAATTCTAGAAGTAGCAAATATTTAAATATATTTATTCAATGTACAAATGATAAATTCATAGATGATTAACGTTTTTCTTAATTAACACGTTAAATAAATATTTTCATATAAAATTATAATAATTATATATTCAAAAAATTGCAATCATATATTTGTAGCATTTGATTATTAATTAATTTGTAATAATATGTATATATTCTAATGCAGGATGACGATAAGAAGTTGATTGATGCTCCAGTTAATAAGGTGAGACATAATTTTTCTTTATAAACAATTACTTATTGTTAACAAGTTACGAAAGGAAAAAAATAAACACTTTCACTACTGTGTGTCAGATACGATGATTCACGCTCTCAACTTACGTTAATTTTCTTTTATTATCATTCGTGATATAAGAGGATAAACGAATCGAAAATTATATAATTTTTCCTTTTTTTTTTTTTTTTTGAAATGAAAAGAATAATTTTTATTTTGAAATAAAAATAATTTCATCATAATTCAAAACTAATTTTGAAAGAGAAATTGCAAATTACGTAAATATGTCAGAATTGAAATTTTAATTAATTGGAATTAATTAATTAAAAGTATTATGTGTTTTAATTAAAAATATTGTTATATAATAAATAATATCTTTTATAATAATTATCATTCGATATAATTAATATTATCTTTTCTTTTGTGCAGAATGAAATTATTAAAAGTGTTGCTGATATAAATGCGAAGGTATTTATGATTTAACGTTTTATTTTATAATAATTTGTTGCAATTGATTTATATGGTTTACAAAGTATATACTTTATTGAAATATTACTATTACATATGATTTAAAATACTCAAAGTTAAAACTAAATTTTAACAAATCATATTTTTTTTAAAAAAAAATATTAATTACGAAAATATTTGTAAATATTTAATTACAGGAAGAAACAAAGAACGAAGATATAGATTCATTGTCGAAATTGGACACAAATTCAGCAAACTTCAAAATGGCAGACAAATTTACCACAATTTTAGGTATAATACTCTCGATGGTTGGCGCATTCACACTCACCTCTTAAGGAATAATGTCGATATAATTAATCGATGATCTTCGACTTCCTTTTTTTTTTTATAGAAGCTACTTCAAATTTTTCTTGAATAAAAAGTATAATATTGAAGTTATAATTTTGATTTCTTTGTGTGAAAATATATATGATTGATTTTGAAGATAAAAGTGATTAAAAGCGTGCGAAATTGATTAATCTGTTACTTCAGAATTTTCTTACAATTTTTCTTTGTATCATTTGAAACTAATATTTTTCCTTTTTTTTTAAATATTTTTATCGAAAAACTTTCGTTAGTGATAAATCTCACGCTTAAATAACTCTTTTATGAATTTGAAAAATATAAAAAGTATAAAGAGATTGATTTTTAAAAATTCTAAATATAAACTTTTTCGTTTTTGTTATACTTGTATTTTCTTCGAAGAAGTCAACCTTCTCTTCAAATTTCAATGTAGAATGAACGTATGTAAGTACATAAAATAACGTGAAGATATGAATATAATACGATGGATTTAAAAAATTCTATTTTTTATGTGATATATCGATTTTTGTAATGTATCTGTCGAAATTATAATTTCTGTATATAATATACTCTGCATGGTAGTTTTTGATTTCACGCGGATTATTTCAATGGAATTGATGAATTTAATTTTTTGAACGATTCAAACGATATTTAATTATAAATCCAAATTATGTGTAAAAAAAAAAGACAAAAACAAATGTATATTTGTATAATTATGCGTAATAATTAATATATAATTGACAATTATCTAATTGCATAAAATTGAAATATACAATGAGATTGTTTTACAATTTGTAGATTGCTACAATTTTCAATTAACCTACTAACGCACATAAATTTAAAATCCATGCTAGTAAGTAGGTCGTACGTAATAACAAAACTATTAGATTTCGAAAGGAAAAAGGATTTTGATGATTATCAGGTTATAAAAAATAGCTACGTTACTTCCTTCTTTTCTATTACATAATTCTTTCAGAAGTTTCTAAAATTCGAGCATTGCTTTTCATTGCTTTCCATTATTTTTCTAGTTATTGTCTACCAGTCTATTTTTATTTTTCATTTTTCGACGAAGACACATGAGGAATATTTTGATTTAACGAATACGACAAATTTTTTTATGAATTTTGTAATGTACCAATTTTTGATATCTTTTCTTATTTTATTTTACATTTTATTATTGTAATAATTGTAAAAAATAAATAATACTTTGATAAATACTACAATTATGCGTCATTAATTTTTTAAAGCAAGGATCTTCTATGTTAATAAGATGCAAAGTTATTTAAATTATATAAGCATTATAGATGGTAATTTTCATTCCAATTAAACTAAAAACTAATAATTGTTTGTATAAGTATATTGTTTACTTGATGTCAACAATGATGTAATAAAGATCAATTGACATAATGATCTTTAACATTTAAACGATATACTTATTTTTATATTTATATAAAATTATACTTTTATAAATGCATTAATATTGCTATATTGTTTAAAATTTTCATGGATTTTAAAGGAAAATTTACTAGCTAATGTAATTATCATAATTTTCTCGTACGTTTACATTTTCATAAATGTCTCTAAATATATTAGTCTAGTAAATTGAAATTTAAGGAATATTAGATATCTTATCTATATAGTTTTTGCACAATCATAAATTAAATTAATTCAAATTTAAATCTATCTAATTTAATTGAGAGGAAGTCTGATTGAGACCATAAAAAAAATTAAGTAAAAATGTTAATGCATACAACATAAAAAAAAACAGAAAAAAAACCTGTCAGACAACATAACTATATTTAGAAAAATTTGATCTGATGACTATATCTAATTGATCGCTTAAACTTCACCATATAATTCTGAGGAAATTATTGCATTTTATGGATTAAATTTTTTTTATTTTAAAACAAAAGAAAAAATTCTTTGCTAAGTGTTGAAATATTAAATGAATGTAATCTATCTCGACTGGTTAAATGTATAAAATCAAAACAGAAATTTCATGAATGACATACAATGATTATAATATCAATTTTATCAATGAAATCATCAAATTGGAAGCCTCGTGATAGAAATTCGATAATCATTCTATCTCCATCGTTAGTTCTCTTAATTAATCACATGATAATAATAAACTAACAATGGAAACGTGTATCTATTATATATTGAATCTAAATATTAGAAGCATCCTTACTATTAGTCATTTTTACTTTTATTCTTTTGCACATTAAATTTGAAATATTAACGACAAACTATTTTCACCGTTAAAAAATAATCGTAAAATTTTAATCTTTTTTCTCCTATTTTTATCCTAGTGTGTCCACTAGGGCCGATTGTGCCCAGAATGTTTGTGTTTCAATGCGACTCGCGGAGAGAAAATCGGGAGTGGGGCATCACACGATATAAAGAAGAACCGGTCCAAGAGGTAATCGTTCCCACTCTATCGGCTGTTCTCCATCTCTTCGGTTCTCTGCGCAGAGTGTCTTGCATTTCTCTCTTCGTGACCGGCCGTGGTTGGTTATCGTAGCCGATACTTTTGTCCCCGATTATTCGTACCATTGTCTTTTGGATTGAACGTTTCGTCGTTGCTGGCCAAGGTAAGGCAACGAATCTGCAATTTTATCATAAATATTATATGCGTTCGAACGGAAAAATTTGATGTGTTATTATTATTTTGTTTTTTTTATTTTATTAATTCAGTGCACGTGAAACTTCGAGAAATGTTTGAATTGGATTTGATTTTTTCTTTTTTTTTTTTTTTTTGAGTTTGTTTTTCGAACGTTGAAAATGTTTTGAAACAATGAGAAGAAAAGATTCTAATTATTATGAAAAATTTAAATGCAAAAAAGAATGTATGAAAACATGAAGATCATCTACAAAGAGTGAAAGAGGATAAAATAGATTTCTAATTCAAGTTTCATTTCTCTCAAGTTGGACTCGTAAAATTTTTAATTTCTACATGTCAGATTTTAGTATCTTTATGACTTATTGTTTGTGAATAATTTATATTTTTCTTCGGTGAAAATTTAATAAATCGGAACTGAATTGCGAACGAAATCAATCGGCTTTGAAATTTTAAGTGACAACGATTTATTATTGGAATTATTTGTTCGATGTTATTCTTGATGAAATATCTTCTATTCGTATAAAAGATGAAGAAATTTCTATTTAAAGTTCATTGTGAAATAAGAAAAAGTAAGAGTTGAATAGTAAAGATGATGTTGATTTTTGCCTTTCATCGTGAATAGTTCTAACATTTTTGACGAGTTGTCATTTTTCACATTGTTACATTTCTTCCAATGAATTCGACTGACAAAGAGTTCGTTGGAACGATACTTTTTGAATTCATTTTACGTGAATAATATATTAAAAACACGATGCACGAAATCATGTAACCATAGATTCTTAGATTAGATAATTCTTAGATTAAAATATATCGTGAACGACAAGAAATGGATAATCGATTAGCAGAGGAAAAACGTGAACACGTGACATTCGAATCGAGATTCGTATTCTTTGATCATATTTTTTTTTTTGCACGCAAATTTTTACGTAATTTTACTTATATTTTACTTTATTAAAAAAATAATAATATATAATCATCAACTCAATAATCTAAATCCAACAACAACATCAAAGCTTTCACTTTTTTCGAACAAATTTCTAAATCTCGTTAAATTTCACAAATTGCACAATTCCAGTTTCTTGAGAAATGTACATGTAATAATAACAAATATATTCCTAAATTTTCGCAAAATAAGGATCAGGCGAAAGAAAGTGAAAGATCGATTCGCATATATATATACATGTTTCCTTTCTATCGAGTTGCCTAATATCGGATTTTACCAAGGCTGGTATTTTGTAATATGATAGTTTTTATGGTGCGCGAAGGAACACACTTGCTTCTCCAAACGAGAAACGAAAGTGAACTTTGTTCAATCGTGTTCGTAGTTGGAAATAGTTTGTCGATTTTTCGACTTGTACCACAGGAAATACACGATATTCCAGAAATTGGTTTAGAAATACGTTCTACGACGTGCGAAGAATTTACGAAGTGACTTTATTTAAGAAACGTGAGTTGGGAAATATATGAATATGTTGTGAATCGATAAATGTGGAACGATGTTGAAGGTACAAAGTGAGACATGTGAGAGAATATTAAGGTGATAGGAGAAGAAATGATTTTGTGAAATCCTTAATATTTGATGGATATTAAATTGTAATTAGATTATATATAGTAGATTGGTAATTAAGAAATGTTAACAAGATTAAAAGAAGATTTTTCAATAGCAAATAATTGCAATATATTGTATACCATATTATAAACGAGAATAAAATTTTTTTTTAAATCAATCGAAGAAAAGAAGAAGAAAGAAGAGAGATATAAAAAAGAAAAAAAACAAAAAAAAGAAAAAAACAAAAGAAATAAAAAAAGAAGAAGAAACAGCGAAAGGTGTCGATAAGATAACTTTTTTCCAAGAAAAAGAAAAAAACATGGATTCCTCTCGGTCAAGCGTGACAAGCTAGAGAAAGTCTAATGTTAGGCAAGCCGCTTCTGGTCAACATTAAATTTCTCGTATAAGAACGATGTGTATCTCGACTATTTACGTAACGTTACAGTGCACATTGCTTGTTGCACGTGCAACATTGCATCAATTTTAATATGTTTATTACCCAAAACTGAAAGTTATTTTCTTCTCGTTTCGATTATTCCTTATCGATCGATGTGTTTACTTTTAAAATCGATGACATGAAATTTATGAAATTTCTTGTATAATCTCTATAATGGTTATATCCATTTCTATTTAGGGTAATAATTTGGTTTAATTTGATTCTCTCTTTTTTTTTTTTTGCAAAAATAAATTTCTATCTATTATAAAAAGTAATTATTAAACTGTACGTATTATTAAACTGTAAATTTTCTATCAAATTTTTTTTGTTTATTGAAAAGTAAAAAATGATAAAGGAAATAACATATTTTTCAATAAATTGCTCAAGTGGTCGTTTCGCATGCAAAATTGCATTAGACGTCATAATTAACATGTTTAAAATTACACGACGTTCCATCTAGTTATCTATCACAAATTAACTTCCTTTCCAACGATAAGTATACGAAAAACATTATTTACTAATGCAATTTTCCTTCCATTCATTCATGTATGATAAATAAAATATATATTTTAATAATAATACTATTTTTCTTCTCTTTTATAATTTTTCTAATTTTTATTAATGTAATGTAAAAGTTGTATTAAAGTAAAAATGAAAATTATGAAACTTTATAAAAACAATAAAAACAGAAAAAATAGAAAAAAAGAATGAAAAGAAGAAACGAAGAAAAAGAAGTGAATGGTATCAGTAAAACAACTTCTCAAAAAAGTGAAACTGTAACTAAATTAGCTGACTACAACAAAATTGTTTAAAAGCTCGACAAAAGAATTTTCAGAAGGTTATGTTTACCAATAACACGTTTTTATTTAAATAGTTGAAAGTGGCTCGTGACACGTAACATTAAAGAAAATTGCTTAATTGTCGGTTAAAAAAAATTGAGAGATATTGAAGAAAATTGTTAAATTCATTTCGCAACAATCATTTTTATACAGAAACAATATTGTTCAATTATCCGAATAGCTGTGTCATGTTTTTGTTTGATTAATGAAGATTCAAGCATATTTCGAATTAAGTTTGTTCTCCTTTAAATCATAACCGGTTTCCAGATGTTGCTGATCCAACCGTCGGAAGAGATGTCGAAGCAGATTCGCATGGAGTTGAATGAAAATGTGGCGACACGCGATAAGGATGTGGAAGTCATCAAGGAATGGCTATCTAAACAACCACATTTACCCCAGTTCGATGGTAATTACATCTCGATCGATAACTTCTCGTTATCTGCTACGAGATAACGTGTTTTGAGATCACTTTGATATGCAATACGAATAGAATAAAAAAAGAATTGTAATTAAAGAAGGAATATTTAAAAAAATAAATAATAGTAAAGGTAAGATAAGAAGAAAATTATAATTAGAAAAGAAATAAAAAAATAAAAAATAATCGATATTAAGAATTAATGAAAAAGAAGAAATAATTGATGCTTGAAAGAAAATTAAATTGTTTTATATTTGTTAATTTGTTTTATTTTTTGAATAAAACAGTAATTCTAATTATACGTAATTATTGAAAAAAAATTGAATTAAATTTTAATCTTAAAGAAAAATCTTGTTTATGATATTTTAATATTTTTATTGAAAAAAAAGCTATCTTTTTTCTATTTTAGATGATTACAGATTACTGACATTTCTTCGAGGTTGTAAATTCTCCTTGGAAAAATGTAAGAAAAAACTGGACATGTATTTCACGATGAGAACTGCAATCCCAGAGTTCTTTACTAATCGAGATGTCACTTTACCAGAACTGAAAGAATCACTAAAATTATGTAAGACTTATATAAATTATTAATGATATTTATTATATGATATTAATAATTTAATAAATAATTCGCGAAATAATTATAATCTAGATAATTTTTTACTTTTTTTTTCTTTTTCTTCAATTTTGTATATATTTAATTGAAAATTATTTTATACATTTATCTTTTTTTATTCATTTAATTAATCATTAATTTATTATATTAATTTTTTTAAATCTTTTATGAAGTCAACAATTTTCAAATTTTCATGATATTAGTAATACGAATCATGAACTAAATCGAAAACTTTTCGAAAGAATGTTTACATAACATAACGAGGAAAGTTAATTCGTTTTAATAAACTTCAACTTTAGTATTAAGCTCTATTTCAGTAAGAAGCAATTACTCGGAAGAAAAAAATGATTTTAATCTTTAAATTTTGAGTATATTCTTGAAAAAAAATAAGAAAATTAATAACTTTAGCTATTTTTCTCTTTTCTTCTCAAACTTTTGAGTAAAAATTTAAATTATTTTCATTCTTCTTCTACATTCTCCTCATTTCTTTTCTTTTTATTTCTTCTATCAATTTCTTTCTCATATGTACATAATAATTAACACGATTCTTCTTTTTTCAGTCAGATTCCTCCATTGCCAGGCTTAACAAAGAATGGACGACGAGTAATTGTAATGCGTGGTATCAACAAGGATCTTCCAACCCCAAACGTAGCAGAATTGATGAAACTGGTTCTAATGATCGGCGACGTACGTTTAAAAGAAGAATTAATGGGAGTCGCCGGAGATGTGTATATTTTAGATGCTAGTGTCGCAACGCCATCTCATTTTGCTAAATTCACACCAGCTCTCGTAAAAAAATTCCTAGTGTGCGTGCAAGAGGCATATCCAGTAAAGTTGAAAGAGGTTCACGTGGTGAATATTAGTCCTCTGGTAGATACTATCGTCAATTTCGTGAAACCATTCGTTAAGGAAAAAATTCGCAACAGAATCTTCATGCACAGTGATTTGAATACTTTATACGAATATATCCCTAGGGAAATATTGCCAGCCGAATATGGCGGCGATGCTGGACCTTTACAAAATATACATGGTTGGTTAAAAAAATTGTTATATTTATTGGTGATATTTGTATTATCTAGGATGTTCTTTTTTATTATGAAATTATCAATTACAAATTAAAGAAAAATATAGAAAATTTAAAATTCTTATCAATAAAATTTCTACATTATCAATTATTAATTATCTATCATTTTTTAAAAGTTAGAAGTTTCAACAACTTCATTGCTAATAAATTATGAATATAAATTGAAGTTCAAATTTCTTATACTCTATTTTTAATATCAAAATCTTATCTGTATTTTATTAAAAATTTAACATTATTCTAGTTATTTTTCTCTTGAATATTTGATTAATTAAAATTTATTTTTTTTTTTTTTTTACAGAGACCTGGATAAAAAAATTAGAAGAATATGGTCCCTGGTTCGTAGAACAGGAATCAATAAAAACGAATGAAGCACTTCGACCAGGAAAGCCAAAGACTCACGACGACTTATTTGGATTGGACGGATCGTTCCGACAGTTGGTGATCGATTAGAAATCTTCTGTCGATGATGACAACTTGATCGATTTTCATCTCGGTGCTAATTCGAAGAAAATTCGCTGGAAGGAAAAAGAGAAATGAAACATCCGCATCACAATTTTTTTTTTTCGACATACAATTTGGATATATTAACATCAAATTTTTAAAAATCGAAATTAATTTTATAAATATTTTGTAGATTTTTTATAAATTTATTTTAATTCCGTGGAAAAAATCTAAATTCTTAAGATAAAATAACTACCAAAATTTCATAGAATCAGTATTAGATAATATCTAATCCAATCATTAAATTAACTTGAATATTTTTTAATACTGCTTAAAGTATAATTCCAAACATTTTATTGGAAATGCATATTTGTATATGTTTTACATTTTTATAACAATCTCTATTTATCTTTAATATGCTTGTTTGTTTTATATGTTTCTTGTTAGATTTTTAACTCTGTATTTTGTAGAATTTTGCGTAGAATAGCTATTTTTCGTTCAGTTATTTTTTTTATTCATGAAAATTGGTTAAAAACGTTAAAAGACATAAATATGTAGAATCATTTCGAATCTATAACCTAATCTATCCGATCCATCTAAATTTTTTCATCCTAAAATTCGAAATTTTTCTGAATTCGTGACGATTTCATCCGAATTTTTCTAATTAATTGATAATATCGAATAGTTTTAATTACGAATACTTATAATAAATATGACTTCTTTGACGATTATTAATAGATGATATTTACTTGGATAAATTCTTGGTTATGAATAAATTTTTATAGTTGATGTCGTACACGAAAGAACATAAGCTTTTAAGAACTTTAAAATAATTTTGATTATAATTTTAATGCGTGTTATTTTCTTTTAAAACTCTGTTATGTTATTTTCCAAGTTTTTTTTTATTAAAGCACACTTATTATTTTATTAGATATTCAATAGTCCTGAATTATAATATATCGTTTGTATCATAGCTTAATTATTTACAAGAGATTTTATTTCTCTATAAAATAATTAAATTACTTTTCTTTAGAAAAGATACTCTTTTATTCTTTAAGAAATCACTTTTATCATTAAAATGATACAAGAGTTAAAATAGTCATAGATTTTCGTTTCGAGCGGAAAACAATCCAGTTCTACACGATTATTCTTACACAACTAATTCTTATATTTGTAATTACTGCCTCGAAAGTAGGTTAGAACACGTAAGTACATAGAACGAAATAAATACTTTCAATTTTTGAAAGTATAATTTCTTTTTATCTCCACACCATGTTGGAAATAGGCTCGGTTTATGTGCAATGTATACGATACGTTTATGTACATGTAAAAAATAATTAACACAGAGAAGATATCTCTCATAATTATTATGTAATCTGTAATGTTATAACTTTTATAAGAAAACATTTACACATGCATATGTACTTATACATAAAATGATATTATTTTTATATAAGATATAATATAGCGTTGTATATTTGATATAAGGAACAATTATATTATAGAATAAGTATAAGTAATTATAAAGAAATTTATTTTCTTTTTTTTTAAGGTTATGAAAGGAAATAGTAATAATGATAAAATTGTAAAAAAATATTATTATTCTTTATTTCAGAGTTTATAATATATATTTATGTAAATTTTTTTGAAATATTTTTAATTATTTAGCTTTAATGGAAAATTTGCCTTATTATGAAAAAAATATGTAAATATAAAATAGAATAATAAAATTATAGAAGAAAATTTTATTGCATTTCCTTATTGATATTTCTGAAAAAAGTGGATTTTTTTGCGAAAACAATTTGACAAAGTATAATTCGCGTTCTTTTAATTGCTTCATTTAAATGATAGAATAAAATCGTGTTTATTGCGATTTATTGGAGCAAATATAATTGATTATAACCGGTCGTACGTGGAAAAATATATTTATATAGAATCCACGATGCATACCGTACGTGATAACGATAAAAATTCTGATCGCCACAAATGTAAATGTATTTTTTCTTTTTTTTTTTTTAAATATATCTTATAAACTTTAAAAAGAATTATTCGCTATATATTTATATATTTCATTTTTTATCTTTCCAATTTTTTTTTACTTTAATTGAAAAAAAGGTTTAAACAATTAAAATACCATTGTACGATGAAACAAAGATACTAATAAATGATACATTTTTTTCAAAATTTTTAGAAATCTACGTAACATTGGTGAAATCTAAAAAGGAGGCGAAATAAATCCACAAATGAAAATCAGGAAAAGTGACATCGGAAATTTTAAAGGTAAAAACTTGTTAAATTTAAACAATTAAATAAACAATGAACAACGGTTGAAAAGACAAATTTTCAAAATGAAAATTGACAAAATAATTTAACAAGTGCAACAACTTGTTACTCCTCGTCGTCCAAGCGGGGATTTAATTAATTTTGCCCGCTTCTTGACAAGAAAAAAAGAGGAGAAAAATTCACTAAAAATGGACGACACGTGACGAGTGAAAGTGGCCGACTAAATCCAAAACGACGTCTTTAAATCGCACGGGTTTCCGTTTACGTTTACAGGTTTTTCTGGTGTAATTAAGGTATCCCAGTGATTAAATGCAATAATTTAACAGTTCATTTCCAGAATTGTGACACTTTTAATTTTACGCAAAACAAAATTATACAACTACAAAAAATTTTATTTCGTCATTTTTAAAAATTTAGGTAAGAAAGAAATTTTTTTTTCAACGATATTATCCAATTATTCATACGCAAAATAAAGTACAAAATTATGATGTTGCGATTCTATTTCCATTTCTTCATTTCTCACTATCGCTCGCTATCAAGTGTGTTTATATAATTTTACTATTTTGCGTCACCCATTTTTTTTATCTCTACGAGTGTTCGAGATCACATGTTTCTTACCTGTAATAAATTTATCTCTTTGAAATTTCTTACTTTCGAACCTATTTTCTTATTTAATTCTGAAGAATACTTTCACTTTAATTCGTCCAATATATTCATTTTTCAATTACATTAATTCAAAAAAAAAAAAAAATAAGAAATCGTAATTTTTCAAAGAATCTCTATTTCTCTTCGAACGAGGAATTCATTTCCATTTTCATTTCCCAAAATTCTCGCAAGTAATCAATTTTTCGTTATATTCGCACGAAACTTACTTGCTTCGATTTCATTTTATCTCGAATGAAACGATACCTCAACCTTTCTCTCTCTAATTTTCAAATTTCCTTATTTATCACACCTCGATCCTGAAAATAGTTCGAATGCAAAATTTCATTCATCCCATCGCATATATTTTTTTCGATCATCTTTCTCTCGCAGATGTGGCGAACAATTAAATGCGAGACGAGTACTTTCGTTCAGTTCCTACGGTCTTTCGATCAGCCCCCACTTCCTTCCCCACCTGTTCGTCCTTTGCTGGAGGATGGTCGGCAAGTCACAATCGGCGGTCAGTCAGTCAGTCAGTAAGTCAGTCAGTCAGGCACATGATCGATCACTGGCTTCCATCAATCATCGAACGAGTGGATCGAAACACTTTCGTGTTTCTGGCCGAGCAGTGAGCACTTACCTCGAATTTGCGCGGTGGAGTGTCAATGTTGTGACAATCTCGTTTCTTTAAATCATCGATTCGTCGATGATGTGAAGATGGATTTTCGTAATTAGACGGGTGAGAGTGAATTTGTTGGATGGAGGGAGAGAAAGGTGAGTTGGGAAAATTGTTGTAATTGAGGTGATAATTTTTTAATTAGGCGAAGTATGTATAGAAGTTACGATTTTTCGAATTTGAGGAGATATCGAGGGAGGGAGAGTAAATTGTTTGGTTTGGTTATTAAAGAATAAGAAAATTGCTTCTTATTTACACAGATATTTAAATATATTTTAATGAAAAATTACGGATAAATTACAGTAACAATCTTGTAATAATTTTGTAATAAATCAAATTTGTTATTAATAATAATAACGGGAGTAGTTTTGGAAATATTTGAAGAATTTCATTTCAAAAAGATAAATATAATATTTTATTGAAGAGAAAGTGTTGGAAATTATTGAAGACGGTTTGTACGTTATTTATAAATTATCGTTTTAAATTAAATACTTGATATCTAGTGGATATTAATTTAATTATTTGACACGTAATATTCCTAATTGAAATCACGTTAAATGAATCGATGATAATTACAGTAGCCTGCATTAAAAATGTCGGATTGACGAGCATCGAAGAATCTTCCATACGTATTTATATGCAATATGCATATTTCGATGACTCACGCGAAATCGACAGCTAAACAACAAAGAATAACCCTGGTATCAACGAAACTTTACTCGTGTGATAAAGTGCAACGAGTGCACTGAAATAAGATAGAATTATTTATAGAATCATACGTTAAATTACTCAAATATATATAAGAACTTCCACGATATATAAATTTTCAATGTATCGAATTGTTTATATGTACTAAAATTAGAGAGATAAATTTTTGAAAAAAAAAAAAAATATTAAAATTTAATGTTGAAATTCTATATTTCCACGCGCGATGTTCAATTTTTTTTTAAATATATTTTAGATTTTTTTATTTTATAACATATTAATTTTAAAATTATTTATGCATAAATTGAAATTTTCATTCGAAAATTAAACGTTTTATATAATTTATTTTCGTAAATTTATCCCTTTCTTTATCAGTGAAATCACAGAGGCGTGTCCAGGAAAAAAATTCTTGTTTTTCTGATAAATGAAATTCAATCCGTAATTATAATGCTAGTTGCCACGTGTAACCGATCATTATCTTATATCGAAGTGATATATTCAGTCTATTTACTTATAATTTCACATGGATTTTGCTTCCTGCATCTTTCACGTTCGTTTCCGTTCCGATTACGACACGTGTAACCGTCGTTTAAAAAAATTGTATAGCCAATAAATTTTCAGAGAGAAAAAAGGAACGGTTAATATTTAAAATTACAAATGTGAAACGTAAATATATCCGTCTAAAAATTCATAAATAATAAAATATCTTTGTTTTAAAATATTTTCAAAAAAAAAAAAATTCAAAATACACTTATTCTGCTTTAAAAGAAAATTGTTTATCAATCTACACAAATTAATAATTTTTCAATGCTATGTATTTCTTAAAAAGTTACTTATAATAATAAAAAAAAAAAGATTGATTTATTAACAACAGTTAATAAAAATTAATTAATATGAATATTAAGCACTTTCGTCCCCAACTTTGACAAAAAAAAAAAATATTTTTCCATAACTTTCAGAAAAAGTGAATTTTTCTGATAAAAAAAACGAAAGGAATATAAAGAAATAGTTCAAGACATTTGTTCCGTCTCTTGATCATCGATTTTTATTACCATTATTTAACGAGTCGAAACGTGCAGACGACGAATATTTAGCATGGTTAAAATATACGGTAAACGTACAGTTTCCAAACTTCCTGTACTCTCGACTTCCTGGATAACACCGCGAGATCATTTTACTGAGAAATCTCTATGGTGGAATGCAAATAACGCAAATTCGCACGACGTCCGAATCTTCGTTTTTTAACTTACCTTATCGCGAAATTAATGTCGATTCTTTTGTAGAATGTCTTTGAGGTTTACTTCTAGGAAGTGGAAAAATATTCTAAATAATCTGAAAATTATTAAAAATGTAATTCCCTTATATTATAAATTTGGATGTAAAAAGTATTTTTAATTGCATTTAATATTTTGAAAAAATTATTGTGAAATTATTAATTAAAAGTAGAATAATTGGATTAAATGGATTTGGTTTAAAAAATATTTTTAATTATAAAATTTGATATTTTGAAAGGATTGTTGTAAAATTATTTATTAAAAATAAAAGATTAAAGATAGAATAATTGAGGATTATTAGTAACATA